GGGTGCCTGCTAGCTCGCTAGCTCGAGACGGAAACCGCAGGTTAGGGAGAGCTCCTGATTGATCTTTAGATACTGTTAGGAAATTCGGGGATTGGATGTTTTCCTGTTATGTCAGGAAGGCCACCCCTTCATTCTCCCCTTTCTGTTGTTTAAAATTAAAATTTCTATTTGAAAATATGAACTCAGAAACAGGGAAAATGTGTAGAATTTTTTCTTCTGTAATTGCTTTGAGCTCAGAAGGGGCACTGAGATCTTATGGTGTTCATTTGAATTATGAAAATGGAGGGGTTTGAAAAGGACAGTGTTGAAAGCTAGGTTGGAGGTGGGATAGGGGTTCCACTGGAGAGAAATAGTTAGGGCCTGAATTTGGTTTTGTATGAATGTTATATAATAGTGGGCCTCCTCAGGCTCCCAGAGTGCTAGGATTACAGGCATGAGCCACCTCGCCTGGCCCATAGAGGAGTTTTTATTTCGTGAGCACTGTTTATGTATACACAACAAGAGGTATTTGCTACCATACATACAATTCCTTGATCAAATAATATATAATCTAAAGCAATGTGATATGTCGCACAGCCTCAGCCAATGAATCAACTGGTTTTAATTGGCCTGTGATGGAGGCAGGGATTTAACCAACCAGCAGTTTTTCTTGAGGTTACAGGAAGATTTCTAATCATGTGTTCATGGGAAGTGGCACCCCATGAAGGCAAAAGCATTCTAAAATGATTGTTGCTGTCTTCTTGCCGGCCCAAAGCAAGAACTCCTTTAGGGCATTACCCAGTGTCTCCACAGAGGTAGCAAAAAGTAGCAGCTCTCCCAACCTCCAGGCTCCTCTCAAGGAGGGCTGAAAGGTTTGCGTAGCTGCAAGGAAACACAAGCCATAGTTTCTAAGGCCTCAGCTTCTTACCTAACCATCCACCTACAAAGGCCAGAAGTAATATGAAAAGACAGTCAGTAAAACAGGAAAACCACAGTTGTCTGGGACGAAGAGAAGATTACAAATGGGTATTCCAAAATGTCAAGAGTCATAGAAGTAATTCAGAACAATCAAATCAAATTAATTCTTATAAATGTTTCTTGCTTAAGCTAGAGGTATCCACTGAGAAAATAAATTTTGGGGCGTGTAAAGATGTTAAATTTTCTTGGAAATTCAGTCTCAGCTGGAGTACTGTTTAGCTAATTCACCTCCAAGGGACTGACAAGGGTGTGGGGGAGGTTATTGCATCCTTTGTAAATCCTTCAGCAAAGTCAGACAGGCAGATTGAGCATTTGAATGGTTTCCCGTGGGAGTTGCAGGAGAGTCCTCTATAACAGTACTTTCAAATCTCATACCAGATTTGAACCTGGGGAAACAGACAGTATGCTTCCTATGAAATTTGTCTGGTTCTAAAATCTGATTTTTCCAATTGTGCTTGCAAATATATTCAGGAATTTCAAAAGAACCCAATTTTGGCCATTGTGTTTTTGGGTCATCTTGAGTCATGTGGGCCCTTTTACCCAGGCATTTGGAAGATGGAGCTCCATAGATAATATACATAAGTGTAGCTGGTGTTTCTAGGTGGGGTTGGCCTATAAGAGAAAGCTTCAGTTTGACATGCAGTTTCCCAACATTTAGGAACTTTTAAAAGTTACCAAGGCCAGAGTAGTGTACGAGGTTAAAGTGTGCTACTCCCTAGCATCACTCCTCAAGGTGTCACTCAGGAGTTGTGAATCGCTGTTACATGTCTTACCGTCTCTGATCACCTTGTGGTAGAAGAGTGCCCAAGGTGCTGGGTGACCAACCCATACATGCACGTTCCAGCGGAGCAGAAAGTCCCCACAGATATTCTTGTAGGGAGGCCCTGAGACTTCTGCACATGAATGAGAAATGTCCCAACATACCTGTAAAGTCTGTTGTTGCCTAGAGCCTATGAAGGGGTCAGAGGGAGCAATTGGTTATCTTTTGGGGGGTGAGAGAATTCATCCTATTGCGTTTTTTGGTTGGAATGTAGTAGGAATTGATCAGAAATGAAAAAAAAAATAAAACCAAGTCTGAATGACACACAGTAGAAAGCTGCAATTTTAAAGGCATTCTATGTAATTTTATGCCAAAATAAGTTGGAACCACATTGCTAGATTGCCAGTGCCATGAACCAGACCTTCTGTCCTAGGGCAGAGGTAGAGACTGAAGGGTTTTGTTTTGTTTTGTTTTGTTTTGTTTTCTTGAAATTTTGAAACCTGAATATCCTTCCTGTAGCCAGAGACAGAAACTTGTTCTAGAAAGGAGTGGTGACAAAAGAGCTCAGGTAAACTCTAGACCCACTAAAGGGTAGGGAGATCCAAAGTCAGGGGGACTCACCCTTTATATGCAACGGTGTATTTGGAGTCAGGGGAACACCAGGGGGTTCTGACTGGCCAGGTCCTGAGTCTAGGAGGAATGCTTGATGCTTGCAGGGAAGAAGGTCACTCAGAATCTTGCTCAGAGCACCAGAAATGCCAACCTAAAGGAAGAAGCTTGAGACACAAAATATAATATTAAACAATTTACTGAGCCAAAGTGGGGACAGCTGGCTGGAAGTATCAGACCCACGTAACCTTGTATATGAGCTTTGTGTGGCTTTTGTTATGAGAACTCAAGTGACTGAGTCCAAGATCTCAGTCAGTTGAGATTTGTTACACCAAAGTTTGAGGATGTGCCTGGGAAAAGCACAAACCACAGAAGCATCTGAGGTCTATGCTGTCTGACAAGGGATGTGGGAACTCAGTATTTCCGGGGACAGAGCATACAGAAAGCAAAAGGAGGGGCAAGTGAGGCATGTGGTTACATCTCAGGATTTCATTAGTGCCCAGGAAATCTACATTTTATACATTAGTGTGGAATCAAACAGACTTTAGTTTTAAGAGTAGACTTAGCCTGCAGACCCAAGTTACAATTTGTATGTCTTTATGGGAGCCCAGCAAAGAAATTCTTTATGAATGATGTATGAGGTCAGTCCTGATAGATGCCCAGGCCTTTTATTTCCCATGGGGATCTGGCTGATGAATAACGTTAGTAACAGCTATTCATTTGGAAGGGGGTGTTGCATGACTCAGCCTCCAGACTTTACCCTGCCTTTCACATAAGCTGTTGGTGGGTTCTGAGATTGTCATTTTATTTACAGGAGAAATTTATATGTAGTGCAATTATTCTTTTCATGTGTTTTGGTCTGTAAACTGATTTATAGAGTTACCTATGCTTGTATTTTAAACTGCAGATTAAGAAAATCCATAAAAGCTTTCAAAATAACTAATACTTCTATTTACATAAAAGTGAGAATACCTTGTTTAGTAGCTTGCTTAGTGTGCTCTTATCTGGGAGGCTTCTTGAGTGTTCTGATAGAACCAAACACTTTATCAAACACATGGTAATGATTATCATGAAATCAGGCTTCTGGCTTATATTTTTCTGCAATTAGTGGGAGTGCCTCACCTGTGGGTTCATATTACTTAAACTGGGGAAATTCTTTTTAAAATGTAAACCAGACTATATACATTTTTCAAGAGTTACTCAGTAGAGCTTCTTGAAAAGGTATCATGAAAATTACGTACAATTAGGTTTGACAAAAAACGCACCAAGTATGTCTACAAAGTTGGGGTCAGAAAGGCCACAGTGTGAGAATACCGGATTCTGTACAAAAGAATGATCCCTGGTTTTGTTTTCCTGCCAGGCGTGAAGGCTGGCTTTCAGGGTCATCAACAGTGACCACGTTTTTCATGTCTTAAACTAACTCGGTATAATAGCATATTGTACATTTTTAGGATACTTGCATTTCAGTACTATACCCATCTAGATAATATATTGTTTAATGAAATTCTGGGCTCAATTTAATGTTATGTTAATAGGACTTTGGTGCCTATGTTGACACTTGAAATTAAATTTAAGTTGTCTGGTGCTGATTTTATCCAGTTTTCACTTCAGGTAATACTACATCTTAGAAACACACTGTAATCTTTCTGTGTTTATATGTTTAGCATCTGTTTCTGGAACCTGGAAATGATGTCAATTTGAATGTCTGGTACAAACAGAATATGTGTACTCCACTAGAAATGTCTCATTAGTGTACTGCACTTTCAAGTCACGACAACTTAACTTTTCTGTGTGGTCATGTTGATATGACATGCAGTTGTTTTCATTCATTTTAGTGTGTCTTTAGTGATGATGTGTCTGTGTGCACTGGCTCCTGATGGTAATTGGTCGTGTTACAGTCCATGTGGATTTTGTTCATTTGGCTAAGGTTCTCTCTGACAGATTTTTTTCCACTGTAGAGATAATTATTTTTCTCTTAATTATTAATAGGTATGTTTTGAATAGGTACCAGCGGATGTGCATAACCCGTCACAGTTAATCTGGAAGCTCCCTCTCCTTTTTAGATTCCCTTTGGGTACAGTTTGCTTTTACAAATGAAGGCTGTCGTCTTTATATTTCCTGGTCCCATGAACTGGGATAAAGCCAGGCCCTGGCACTTACTGGATGTTTTAAAGACATTCCTCTTGGGCCAGAAGTGTTGACGTCGCTGGTGATCTTGTTAGAAATTCAGAATTTCAGGGCTCACCCCAGATCTCCTGAATAAATCTGCATTTAGCAAGATATGCAGTTCATTGTTGTCCACATTAAAGTTTGAGAGGTACCTTTTACCTCAGCATGACGTTTCCATCTGAAATACATACACCGCTTACTTATCCTGTATGACATAAATGTATTAATAGCACTCAAAAATATAAATGTTTGTGTTGGTACCTCAAATTTTATGTTGTATTGTACAGAAAACTATAGTATCAACATGGATTTTATGGATCTTATGTCATCCTTTCCTCAGAGTTAGACAGTACTTTAGACAGTATTTCTGTGGTGAGATTGTGTGTTTAAATAATTCCACTCACTCGTATGAGTAAGAACAGGTACTCTCCCTCTCTCATTTCACCTGGAGTCACATGAAGAACTCTTCCCACGGCCACTTTGTAAATACACGTTTTTCTTTCAGGAACTGTTGACATTCAGGGATGTGACCATAGAATTTTCTCCAGAAGAGTGGGCATGCCTGGACCCTGCCCAGCAGAATTTGTATTGGGACGTGATGTTAGAGAACTACAGAAATCTGGTCTCCCTGGGTGAGTATAACTTCAATAAATAATTTGTATTCCATGTGAAGGATTCATATCCTTCGTTACTTGAATGATGCTGGGAGTTCCTGCTTTACATGAATGAGTTTCAGATGATTGTTCCAAGGAAATCTTGGGGATTTGTTGGTATTGAAAAAACTCTTCAAGATGTTTTATCTTGACATTAATCTTAGCCTTTCTTCAGCTGATCTGTTTCCTTCACTCTAGGTTAGTTGTAATTTGAAAATTTTAGTGGCACAAACTATTATTACACACACCTTAATTTCCGATTTCCACTGTCAGTTTTTGAGTGGCTAGTACTGGGTAATAGAGATAAGAACCCACAAATTTTAAATCCTTCCTAAATATTCTAAAGTTTTTGTGAGGACATGGTACTTTATGATTAATTTTCTAAAATCTTGTATAATGTTTTCTCTTCTCTAGAGAGCACAGCACTAGGTTGTTAATTGGAGAGTCCTAGCAAGAGTCATTCTGTGTTCTAATAAAACAGGGCTTCCTGTGTCTAAGCCAGACCTCAACACCTGTCTGGAGCAAAGGAAGGAGCCCTGGAAGGTGAAGAGACATGAAGTAATAGCAGTACAGCCAGGTAGGTGTTAGAATGAAGCAGATGACACGGGTGAGAGGTCCAGCCGTGAAGGAGAAAGGGAGACCTAAAGTGTGGGAAGCTCTGCTCTAGGGCAAATGCTTTCTGAGAAGCCTGGGTTTCTCTTAGTCTCACATCTGGGCTTCTCTGGCCCTTGTCTCCTTAGCTTATTTAGGGACTTGACTTCTCTATAGTGATCCTCCTTCACATTTACAGTGAGAGTCAGCATCCTCTTTTTTTTCTTTTTTGAGACAGAGTCTCACTTTGTTGCCTTGGCATCATCCTAGCTGTCAGCAACCTCAAACTCCTGGGCTCAAGCAATCCTTCTGCCTCATCCTCCCAAGTAGTTGGGTCTACAGGCATGTGCCAGCATTCCCGGCCAATTTTTTCTATACGTTTTTAGTAGTCCATCTAATTTCTTTCTATTAGTGGAGATGGGCTCTTGTTCTTGCTGAGGCTGGTTTTGAACTCCCAAGCGCAAATGATCCATCTGCCTTGCCTTCCCAGAGTGCTAGGATTACAGGGGTGAGCCACCTCGCCCGGCCTCCTTTCTCATTTTATTTTGCATAACTTCTATATATATATTTTTTCTAAACATGTTGAGATATGGAGAGTACAAAAGCATCTTAAAGTTACAACAGTATAGTTCAGTCTCATAAGTTAATTTCAAGTAAATGCAAAAACCAGACCTCTTTACATCCCCCACTTTACTAATGTGACAAATTATACCATTTTATATTGTGCATGTATCAATAGAGAACTTTCAGAAGTTATGAAATAACATGCTTTAACTTTCATGTTTTGTAAAAGTTGTATTAGATAATTAGTATAATTAATGCTTGGTTAATGTTTCAGCTTACTGCATAAAAATAGTTAGCATTTCAGTCATCATCAACCATTATCTTAATGAGAATAGAATTTGTTCCTAATTGTTTCTTTTATATATCATTTTCACACCATATTTTACAGTATCCATGTTGTTTGTGTATTTAAAAATGTAAGGGTTGTCTTTGCTTCTGAAAGCTGGATGACAGCCTTTCTCTGTTGTATAAGAAGAGCATCAGTATATTAATAACATAAGAAGAAAGTTTCTGGCTGGGTGTGGTGGCTTACACCTGTAATCCTAGCACTCTTGGAGGCAGAGACAAGGTGGATCATTTGAGCTCAGGAGTTTGAGACCACCTGAGCAAGAGTGAGACCCCATATCTACTACAAATAGAAAGAAATGAGCCAGACAACTAAGAATATACATAAAAAATTAACTGGACATGGTGGCACATGCCTCTACTCCCAGCCACTCAGGAAGCTAAGGCAGAAGGATTGCTTGAGCCCAGGAGTTTGAGGTTGCTGTCAGCAATGCTGATGGCATGGCATTGTAGCCCAGGCAACAGAGTGAGACTGTCTCAAAAAGAAAAAAAAAATGTTTCTCTAGGATCATTTAAATGCCTAATCCTTAAAACTTTTCTTATGAAAGCTTTTTATGAATGATTATAATGTGTTTTTGTGAAATATTATTGCCCTGACTACATTGTAATGATTAAAAATCTGGTCTTCATTGATACCTAGTCATCCTGGAAAATTACAGTTATCTTGAATTCTTCAGTAATACACTGTTTTTTCAGAATTTTATGGGTTAAGGTTTCTTTTGTAATTTTACTGTTATGTTTCATATTTTAAAGTAGTCTACCTCACATCGGTCAATTGCGTTTTTAGTTTTTACCTATATACTGTAATTTTATATGATACTAGTAAACTCTTTACACTTTAAGCCATTGCAGAACAAAAGTCAAATATATATCAGCCATATATTGATTTTCAGTAGAATTTTCTTTATGTTTGCCTGTACATATATTACTCACACTTTGTTTTTGAATAGCACAGTTTTTATCTTGGTTGGGTGGTCAGTAGTTATTTTATCCTGTCTAGGTGAATAGTAATGAAAATTGTCTTAATTTCAACATGTATTTATTTGTGAATATATATTCTCTTTGAAACATTTGTATAATTTGAAGATAATTTTTGAAAAGGTTCAAAAGTCTATTTTTGGTATTTATTTTTCATTATAAATACATGAAATTTACAATCTTATAATATTTTCATAATATAGTTTAGTCATGTTAAGTAGTTAGGTAGATTGAGATTGTTATGTGACATATATCTCTAGTACATTTTTATCTTTCAAACCTAAAACTCAATATCCGTGAAATAACTCCCTATTTTTCCCGTTGTCTGGTCCTTTACGAATACTATACTGTCATTCTTTTGTTTCTAAAAATGTAACTACCTTACATGTTTTATATAAGTGGATTTATGAAGTATCTGTTTTTGAGGGTTGGCTTATTTCATTTATTATAATGTCAGGATTTATTTTTATTGTGTATGTTAGAAGATGCCCTGCTTTTTAAAAGCTGAATGATAATCCATTATTTTTATGTCTGAAATTATATTTATCCATTCATATTGTTGGCACAAGTTCTTGTTGATTGCACATTTGGTTTTTGTGAATAATGCTGCAGTATATACAGATGTGCAAGTAACTCTTCATTTGACCACATATGTGAGGGTTTTTAAGATGGTTCAGTTCTTCATGATACTTTGGGAGTTGCTTTTTGTTTTCTGCAAAATATGACACCAAGAACTTTAAAGAGATCTCATTTAATTTCAAAATGATTTTAGGCAGAATGGACATCTTCACAATATTAAGTCTTCCAACCCTTGAACAAGAGCATGCTTGAGTTTGTCTATTTATTTGTGAATTTTCTGTTTTTCCTTTTGTTATTGATTTCTAGTTTCATTCTATTTTGTCATAAATAATAGTGCATAAGATTTTAATTTTTAAGAATTTGTGAAAAATTGTTTTGTGCACTAATAAGTGTTATATCTAGGAGAATGTTTTATGAACTATTGAGAAGATTGTGTATTCTGCTTTTGTTTTTTGGAGAATTCTGTATATGTCTGTTAAGAATAATTGTTTTGTAGTCCTTTAGTTTGTCTATTTCCTTATTAATATTGTGTCTTGCATTATTATTCATTTCTCAAAGTGGGATTTTGAAGTATTGTGCCATTATTATATTGCTATATATTTCTTCTTTCAATTATGTCAGTGTTTGCTTCATATATTTTACAACTCTGATTTTACTCACACACTTGTGTGTATATATGTATATTATTTTATACCTATAGAAAATATAAAAATCATAAGTTCCCAGTGAAGGAACAATATTATTATTTAGTGTCTTTTTTTGTCTTTTGTGATAGTTTTGATGTAAGGTATATTTTCTGAAATAAGACAAGTTTTATCTTGAAATACATTATGCCTAATTATGACCTCCCCTGATGTCATTTGATTATCATTTTCATGGGCTGTCTTTCTCTCCTGCCACTTTCAGTCCATTTTTGTCATTGGAGACAACGTTAGTCTCTTGTAGACAGTGCAGAGTTGTATCTTGGTTTTTTATTTACATAAATACCTATCCTTAATTGATGTCTTTTTATTGTGAAATGTCATCCATAAGTATTTACATAATTTTTTGAAAGGGAAGGACTTATTATTACCATTTATTAGTTGCTTTGTCTTTTTTTTTTTTTTTTTTTTGAGACAGAGTCTCACTCTTCCCTGGGCTAGAGTGCCCTTTTAGTTGCTTTTTTAATTCTTGTAGCTGTTTTACCTCTCTTTTCCTCTCTTTGTCTTTGTGTCTCTGATTTTTGTGCTGACATGCTTTGAATTTTTTTTTATTATTTTGGTGTCTCTCTATAGGTATTTGCATTGGAATTTCCATGGTACTTACACAATGCTTGTTGTAGTTACAACAATATGTTTTAAACTGGTGACAACTTAACTTTAGTGGTGTATAAATATACTTCCTAATTACATGTATCCTCAACTTTGTTTTTTAATATAACCAATGATAGGTTGTTATATAGCATATCCATTAACAGAGGTTTAGTATTAATTTTCTGTTTTTTTCTTCATTTTATAGTGCATGATTAAAATGTTTTTTGTACCATCATAATGCTACTGAATTTTTTTTTTTTTTTGAGACAGAGTCTCGCTTTGTTGCCCAGGCTAGAGTGAGTGCCGTGGCGTCAGCCTAGCTCACAGCAACCTCAAACTCCTGGGCTCGAGCGATCCTTCTGCCTCAGCCTCCCTGGTAGCTGGGACTACAGGCATGTGCCACCATGCCCGGCTAATTTTTTTTTTTTTTTTTTTTTTTAGACAGAGTCTCGCTTTGTTGCCAGGCTAGAGTGAGTGCCGTGGCGTCTAGCTCACAGCAACCTCAACTCCTGGGCTCGAGTGATCCTTCTGCCTCAGCCTCCCGGTAGCTGACTACAGGCATGCGCCACCATGCCCGGCTAATTTTTATATATATATCAGTTGGCCAATTGATTCTTTCTATTTATAGTAGAGACGGGTCTCGCTCTTGCTCAGGCTGGTTTTGAACTCCTGACCTTGAGCAATCCGCCCGCCTCGGCTCCCAAGAGCTAGGATTACAGGCGTGAGCACAGCGCCGCCCTAATTTTTATATATATATCAGTTGGCCAATTGATTTCTTTCTATTTATAGTAGAGACGGGTCTCGCTCTTGCTCAGGCTGGTTTGAACTCTGACCTGAGCAATCCGCCCGCCTCGGCCTCCCAAGAGCTAGGATTACAGGCGTGAGCCACAGCGCCCGGCCAATGCTACTGAATTTTATTTAGGTTTTCCTACATAACTTCCCAAGACTTATATATTAATGTTTTCATATGATTTGTGTTGTTTTCTATATAATCTTTTTACTTAATATTTTCAGTAAAAATGGCCCCTTTTGCATTTCTTATCAGGCAGTTCTATTGGTGATAAACTTTTTCAGTATGTGGGTATCCTGATAAACCTTTATGTTATTTTTTTAATTCAGAAGGGCAGTTTTTCTGGATATAGTATTTATGAAGTTTTTGTTCTTTTAGTACATTTCACATCACTATTCTCTTGTGGCTTTCAAGCTTCTCTTCCTATGTGTGATTTCCAAAACTTTGCTTATAACCTTTCTTGTTACAGTTCCCTTTATGTTTAGTGTAGATGAAGTATGTCGAGCTTCTTTATTTTATAATATGATGTCCTTGTTCTTATATTTGAGAATTTCTTAGTCATTTCTTTTGGTTTTCTTCAGTTTAACATTTTTATTTCTGTGCTTTCATGGTTTTTTGATATTCCTGATTTCATGACATTGTGAGTTTGTTCCCATTTCACTCATTGAGCATCATTCAGACCCTTTTTAATCTTTCCAGGGTATTTATACATCTCCATTCAGTTATGGTTGATTTCTGATTCTTTTCTTGTTTTCAATTGGGTGTGTTACTCTGATGTTTTGTATATGTTGTAAGCTTTGGTTGAGATTTGAGGATTAGCAAAATGCCTCCTTTCACAAACTTTATCAAGTGGTTATTTCTTCAGAGGATTCAGACACCATAGAGCTTTCCTAGAGATTCAAGGGGCCTCTAATCTGTTCTGATGATGTTTTTTGTGTAGAATTGTGTGTTTATATTTCAGTTAAGGCAATTTTCATGCAATTCTTTATAAAGAGCCTGTCGTCGTTTGCTGCACGTGTTATGCATCTATGGAACTGAAGTATCTCTGCTTCTATAACAATCTTTTATGTTTGGTTTCAGCACATCTACTCTGTTTTTCAAACTATAGCATCATTCCTTTCAGCACTCTGTTATGGGAGTCAGAAAGCACTATTTGAACCGTCCCCAAAAGCCAGAGAGATGGACACTTTTGTCACTATTTTCTTTCTCTTTTGAGGGAGAATCTGGGAGTTGGGAGTTTACTTCTATATGCACCATGCTGTATTAAGAGGAAGGAAAGGCCATGGTCAGTGAGCATAACAAACTTTTATTCTCCTTCCTTGTGGCTCCTCTGATGTGCTCTTGTGTCCTGAAAAGTTTAACCAGGTTTTTAGAATTCCCACAAAGGCAATTTTGACAGTATGGGTTTGTTGTATTTATTTCTCTAAAAGAGAATTGGAGCCTGTGTAATGTATTATGCCACTTTGCTAATGTGCTTGGTATAATTTTATGTATTAAATTTGTAATGTATATCCATATGATTCTTAAAAAAAAAATAAGGATAATTTATTTTTTTAATTTCTTTCAGCTTTGTCTTATTGTACCCAAGACCATTTGCCAGAAGAAAACAAAAATGTTTCATTCCAAAAAATGGTATCGATAACATATGGAAGCTGTAGCCTTGAGAATTTAAACTTAATGAACTGGGAAAATGTGCGTGCATATAAGGAGCAGAAAGGGTGTCATGATGGAGTTAACCAATGTTCAACAACTACCCTTGGAAAAATTTGGAAATGTAAAAAATATTTGAAAGTCTTTAAAACGTTGTCTAATATAAATACACATAAGGTGAGACACACTGTAGAGAAGTTTTTTAAATTTAATGAATGTGGGAAAAGCTTCAAGCAGTGCCCACACATTAATGAACATAAGAGAATTCATAATGAAGGGAAAGCTTACAAATGTGATGGATGTGGCAAAGCCTTTAAATGGTACTTTTATCTTACTGAGCATAAGAGAAGTCATACTAGGGAGGAACCCTACAAATGTCATAAATATGGCAAGGCCTTTAAGTGGTACTCATACCTTACTAATCATAAAAGAATTCATACTGGAGAGAAACCCTACAAATGTGAAGAATGTGGGAAATCCTTTAACACGTATGCATGCCTTTATATACATAGAAGAATTCATACTGGAGAAAAACCCTACAAATGTGAAGAATGTGGCAAAGAATTTAAGAAATACACAAGCTTTACTATACATAAAAAAATTCATAATGGAGGAAAACCTTACAAATGTGAAGAATGTGGTAAAGCCATTAAAAGATATGCATTCCTTTCTGTATATAAAAGAATTCATACTAGAGAGAAACCCTTCAAATGTACAGAATGTGGCAAAGCTTTTAAGTGGCATTCAGGCTTTATTGCACATATGAGAATTCATACTGGAGAGAAACCCTACCAATGTGAAGAATGTGGCAAAACTTTTAGGTGTTCCTCAGGCCTTCGTAAACATAAGAGAATTCATACTGGAGAGAAACCCTACCAATTTGAAGAATGTGGCAAAGCGTTTAGCTTTTCCTCAGTCTTTCATGCACATAAGAGAATTCACACTGTAGAAAAACTCTACAAATGTAAAGAATGTGGTAACACTTTTAAGTATAGCTCAAGCCTTTATAGACATAAGAGAATTCATACTGGAGAGAAACCCTACCAATGTGAAGAATGTGGTAAAAGTTTTAGCTATTCCTCAGGCCTTCATACACATAGGAGAATTCATACTGGAGAGAAACCGTACAAATGTAAAGAATGTGGTAACACTTTTAGGTATAACTCAAGCCTTCATAGACATGAGAGAATTCATACTGGAGAGAAACCCTACAAATGTCATGAATGTGGGAAAGCTTTTAATTGCTCTTCACACCTTACGAAACATAGGAGAATTCATATTAAAGAGAAACCATAAAAATATGAAGGTGGCAAACCTTTCTAAACACAAGATAATGCATACTGAAATGGAGCCTTACCAATGTGAGTGATGTGGCAAGGAATATAACCAGTGCTGAAACCTTTAGAAGCTTGAGAATTCATACCAAAGAGAAACCATAGCAATGTGAAGAATGTGGCAAAGCTTTTAACCAGTGCTTTTACCCTGCTATACGTGAGAGAAGACATACCTAAGTGAAAACCTACAAATATAAGGAAAGTAGGAAAGCCTTTAGTAACTGGTCAGATATTATTGGACCTCAGAGAGTGATACTGGGGAATAGCAGTGTAAATGTAACAACCATCAAAATACCTTCTAGAAAATAAAAGTCTTAGCCTGCACCTGGGTATTTATACTGAAGAAAGAAACATTACAACTATAATGGGAGGTCCAATGGTTCTCTCAAAGACCTGTTGTGCATAGGATAAATTATTCTGGAATGAAACCCTTCATTAATTACTCAACCATTTTTAAGTTTAGAGAATTTAGAGAGAACCTCTACAAATGTAATAAATGGGGGAAAATATTCGTTTAAAAAAAGCAGCTTTGAGAACAGAGTTTATGGTACAAGATAATTTGCAGATGCCATAGTCTTATGAAATATTTAATAAAAGATCAACTTTAAATAAACATCATAGGATTCACAGTAGAAAGAACTAAGGCACTAATACTTTTAGACATTACTCTAAAATGGAGTGTCGATTATAGTGAATAGTCCAAAGTGAAAATGATTAAATGATTTATGTTTAAAAGAAATGGGATTGATTTTATGACAAGTTATAATTACATTCAACACATACTTTTTACATTCAACATTACATATACTTTTGAAAACTAAGTATTGATATAATTCAGCTCTCAGAGTACTTGATGGTATGCCTTTATTCTTAGGATTTCTGTAAAAGTATGGGCAGTTCTTTCTTCATCAAACTATGAACGTTCCGTGTAAATTTTTAGGTGGGCATCATTCTTATACTCTTCCAATGAGTATTAACAACAGTGAAATGTAAGATGTATGAAGAAAATCTAACTGGAGAGGCTGTTTGTTATTGACTTACAAGAGTATTGTGAGTGATGTCACAGGTGGGCATTTATAGTAATATTCTCCATTATAGCAAGAAACATGTATTACAGAAGTAAATTGTTTTACCAATTGCATACTAAAGTAATAAAATACAGTGGACTTTGAAATGCTTTTTAAGAATATGTGTGGACCTAATTTGTTTTAATAAAACAAAATTGTTTTTAATGTGTTTTGCACAGAATAAAGTATTAAACTGCCACCAACATTAACCCATCCCATCTTATTCAAGGTTGTAGGTAAAAAAAAAAAGGTGATCATAATATACTATTTATTGGGTAACATGGAATAACATCTTTAGTGACTTTTATTCCAATTTGCTTTAAACTTCATGTATTAGAAGAATACTGTTTCCATAGTTTATGTTTTTAATCTTTAGATATCTATATCATTATGATAATGATAATGAAGATTATATAGGAATATAATCAAAAGCCATATATTTCTTGAGTCTTGAATGACTACAAAATTTTCTCTCACATTTTTCTTTGAACATGTGACCTCTCTGGACTACAAACACATGTGTTGTAAAATACTTTAAACAGTTATTTAATCCTCAGATAATTACCTTGTTTGAGTCACATGACCTCAACCATGCTGAAATCTGTACACTTGGCAGGTATTGAGCTTGTCAAAATTTCTACATTCAGGGCTGGGTGCGGTGGCTCACACCTGTAATCTTAGCACTCTGGGAAGCTAAGGCGGGTGGATTGCTCAAGGTCAGGAGTTCGAAACCAGTCTGAGCAAGAGCAAGACCCTGTCACTACCAAAAATATAAAGAAATTAATTGGCCAACAAATATATATATAGAGAAAAATTAGCTGGGCATGATAGCACTTGCCTGTAGTCCCAGCTACTCAGGAGACTGAGGCAGAAGGATTGCTTGAGCCCAGGAGTTTGACGTTGCTGTGAACTAGGCTGATGCCACAGCACTCTAGCCTGGGCAACAAAGTGAGACTCTGTCTCAAAAAAAGAAAAAAAGCAAAAAGTATTTCTGCATTTGGTTTTGAAGTTTTAATTATTGTATTATGATATAATTGAAGACTGTTTCTCCCATTGCTATGTGTTTTGAAACTATTGAATTCCAGGGCTTAGATGTATGAAATTCTGTCCTCTCTAATGAATCAACAAAATGAATTGGTTTTGTGGTGGGATATTCTGACCCCAGTTGGCTTTACTAGAGATATACAGGACATCACATCCTTTCTGATATGTCTTCTGTGGATTGGTGTGTTTATTGTTTAGTTAGAGCAATTTTCCACCATTTCTTGTTAAGAACCTGTCGTCATTTGCTACACCTATTCCCTGTATGTAGTTCTAATGTCTTTTTGTTGGTGTAACAATCTTTCACCTTTGGTTTCAGCATACTCTGTTTTTCAAACTGTGGCACCATTCCTTTGAGTACTTTGTATTATGGGAGACAGAAAACACACTTTGGAAGGATCTCCAAAAGCCAGAAGGATGGGTACGGTTAACACTATTTTCGGTTTTTACAGAGGAGCTGGGAGTTGGAAGTTTGCTTCTGTATAGACCATATTGTATTAAGGAAAGGCCATGGTCAGTAAATGTAAAAAAATTTTTCCCCTATATGTGGCTCTTGGGAATGTGCTGATTTGATATGCTCTACTATTTCCTGCTTGTAAGAATTCCCACGAAGACAATCTTGTGTCTATAATGTTGTTATATTTATTTATATAAAAGAATAAGAGCCTGTGTATTATATTATCCCATATTACTAATGTGCTTGGTATAATTTTATGTATCAAATTTGTAATGTATATTTATCTAATCCTTAAAAAAAGTAATAAAAGAGATAATTTGTTATTTAAAAAATTTTTTTTTCAGATATATTTTCTTATGCTACCCAAGACCACTTTCCAGAAAAAGGCATAAATGTTTCTTTCCAGAAAGTGGTATGGAGAATATGTGGAAGCTCTGGCCTTGCGACTTAAAAGTTAATGAAAGACTCGAAAGTGTGAGTGAAAGCTAGGAGTAGAAAAGATGCTACAACAGAGGTAACCAATATTCAGCTACTACTCATAGCATAATCTTCCACTGTAAAAAATGTGTTAAGAGTCGTCCAAAAATTGTCAAATACAAACACATATAAAATGAGACACACTATAGACAAACCTTTTAAGTGTAAAGAATGTGGGGAAGTCCCCGCGCAGTGGCTCACGCCTGTGTTCCTAGCACTGTAGGTGGCCGAGGTGGGAGGGTCATTTGAGCTCAGGAGTTCTAGACCAGCCTGAGCAAAAGTGAGACCCCATCTCTACTAGAAAACAGAAAGAAATTAGCTGGACAACTAAAAATATATAGAAAAGTTAGCTGGGCATGTGTTACAGGCTTGGAGTCCCAGCTACTTGGGAGCCTAAGGAAGGAGGATTCCTTATGCCTAGGAGTTTGAGGTTGCTGTGAGCTAGGCTGACACAACAGCACTCTAGCCCAGGCAACAGAGTGAGACTCTGTCTCAAAAAAAAAAAAAGAGCGAATGTGGGGAAGCCATTAAACAATGCTCACACATTACCAAACATAGGGGAATTCACAATGGAAAGAAGTTATAAATCTAAAGAATGTGGCAAAATCTTTAATTGGTGCTCAGACCTCATTAATAAGAGATTTCATACTGGATAGCAATCTTACATATGTGAAGAATGTGGTGAAGTATCTAACATGTACTCACACCTTAGTAAACAAGAGAATTCACCTTGGAGAGAAACTCTACAAATGTGAAGAATGTGGTAAAACTTTTAAGTTGTGCCCAGACTTCACTGTACATAAGAGAGTTCATACTGGAGAAAAAAAGCATACAAATGTGAAGAATGTGACCAAAACTATCACAGTTATTGACAGCTTTCTGAACATAAAAACTCATACTGGCCAGAAACCCTACAAATGTGAAAAATATGGGACAACCTTTAACTATAGCTCTAGCCTTCGTACCAAGGAGAAAATTCATACTACCGAGAAACCCTACAAATGTAAAGAATGTGGCAAAGCTTTTAAGTTATGCTTATCCCTCACTAGGCATAAGATAATTCATGCTGGAGAGAAACCCTGCAATGTTAAGAATGTGGCACCATCTTTTAAACAAGTGCATACCTTTCTGAAAACAAAATAATTCATACAGGACACAGACCCTACAAATGTAAAGAGTGTGGCAAAGCCTTCAGCTCAAACTCATATCAAACTCAGCATGAGAGAATTCATACTGGAGAGACACCCTATAAATGTGGAGAGTGTGGCAAAACTTTTAAGTATTGCTCTGCCCTTAGTCCACATAAGAGACTTCATATTGTAGGGAAACCCTAAAAAATGTGAACAATGGCAAGTCCCTTACTCAGCAATACTCATTCCTTTCTAAATAAGATAATAGACACTTAAGAGAAATGTAACACACATAAAGAATGTGCCAAAGCCTTTATGCAGTGTTGACCTTTATAAACATAAGGTAATTCATACCATAGAGAAGCCATCCAAATGTTAAGAATTTCACCAATTCTTTACCCAGTTTGTAACTCACAAAAGAGACAATTTATACCTGTGCAAAATCCTACAAATGTAAAGGAAGTGGGAAAAGCTTTAATAACTGCTTATGTATTAGTTTACATTAGAGAGTCATACGGGGTAACAGTGTTATAAATGCAACAACAGTTAAAATATCTTTCTGAAAATAAAGGTATTAGCATGCATCAGGGTATTTATACTGAGGAGAAAATATTGCAGCTCTAAAGAGAGGTGCAAGTTTTACTTATCTCACAGACATTATTATGCCTGGGTTAATTTATACTGTTATGAAACCCTCTATTAGTTTCTTAAAGTTTTTTTTACTTTCAGAGAATTTGGATAGGAGCCAAACTCTACAAACAGAATGAGTGCAGAAAAACATTTGTTTAAAAAACACACCTGGGAAAATGCCAGACTTTATACTATAGATATTTTTTAGATGCTATGATGTAAACAAATATTTAACCAAAAATCAAGTCTGAATAAATATCTAAGGATTCATGGTAGAAAGCACTAAGGCACTAAAATTTTCAGACATTACTGTAAATCAGTGTTATAGAGAATATGCCAAGGTTAAAAATAGATAATATACATATATGGTTAAACGGAACACAAGGTCAATTTTATGGCAACGTATAATTACAAAGTATGCCTTTTTCTTTTAAAAATTCTTAGATTTTTTTGAAAATTAATTATTGTAATTTAACTCGAAAATTATTCAATGGTATGCCTTCATTCTTAGAGTTTCATGAAAGCATGTGGCCAATTGTTCCTGCATCAAAATTATGAAAGTTCTTGCAAATTAGGTGGACATCATTCATATACTCTTTCAAGGACATTACGACACTTAAAATGGAAGATTCGTGAAGATAATTGAACCGGAGATGCTTTCTGTGATTGATTTCTAAGGGTTGTAAGTGATATCAGAGGTAGATGTTCAGACTAATATTCTCTATTATAGTTAGAAACGTTTTGAATTTTAGAAGTAAGTTGTTTTACCAATTGTATATTAAGTAATGTTCTACAGTGGATTTTGAAATGTTTTTAAAAGACTGTGTGAACTTAATTTGTTTTCATAAAATTATGTGTAATGTGTTCAGAGTGTTGTGCATATTACGGAGTGGTATCCTGCACCAACATTAACCTATCCCAGCTTATTCAAGGTTGTAGGTAAAAGGTGGTAACCGTATACAAATGGGTAGCACAGTTGAATAACATCTTTAGTGACTTTTATTTCAATAGGCTTTAAATGCCAGTATTTTTTCCATAGATTATATTTTATTCTTTAAATAGCCAAATTGTCATTATGGTGGTTATAATGAAGTTTATATCAGAGGATAGCCAAAGGACATACATTTCTGATCACTGCATGAGTATTTATAACATTCCCTTCATGGGCGCTGACAGAATTCATTCTGAGGCAAAATTCCTCCCCAGATCTGAACTTATGAAACCAGTTAGGTCCTGTTCTTCCAAAATATGATGATGATAGAAGCATAGGGTAGATATTCTAATCACAAAAATTTTGAACAATTGGAAGAAATGGGTGATGGTTCACCAGCCAGTTTGAAACCTTTCAATATCAATATAATTATATCTTAAGGCTTGAGAATATTCCTTTGTGCTCTGATGCTCTCCCTTCTAGCCCCACTGGGCCAGTAGTCCCATATTCTGGGCCCACTTCTTTGAAGCTCCTTTGCTTTAGGGTTCACACTCCTAAGGCCGTGTTTAACAGGGGACCGACCTATTCCTCAAGGATCTGCTCGTTAGGATTCCTGCTCCCAATGCTCTAGGTGCCCCTGCTCCTGTGGCTTCATTTTCAGGTCATCTGTTGAAACTGAGGTAGTCGCTTTGATGGTCTGAATCCTCTTTCAAGTCATTATTCCCTGTATTGAAGTAAAGTGCATATTCATATACAAAGAGCTTCATAATCCTGCCCTGCATAACCTAAGAAGTCTGATGGCCTTTATTTATTGTATTTATCATCCATCCCTTGCAGATCAAACTGGCAGTGTTTTTCCTAATATAATTCCAGTATTTCTTTATTGAATGATAGTCCAAAGGGGGGGGGCACAACTTTGGTGTGTTCTTCCAAATATGCTTTTTCCTTTTTTTTTTTTTTTTTTTTGCAATATGAACAAGCTGAGAATTTTTTAAATCTTTAAGATCTGTTTTTGTTCTGCATAACAATTTCTCCTTCAATTCATCTCTAGTTGCCATATTTTACTAAAAGTGATCAGGGAAAAAACATTCAACACTGCTCAGAAATTTTTTTAGCTAAATATGCTATGTTATAGTTTACAATTTCTATATTTCACAAAACACCAGAAAATAAACATAGTTTACCCAAGTTATTTGCCACTTTATATCCAAGATCATATTTCTTCCAATTTCTATATAATGACATGTTACTGATTCCTGAGACCACCACAGAATGCGGTTTAATATCTGTATGTCTATCAGCATTCTGTTCTTTATTATTTATGTATTTTCTAGGAAGATGGAAGCTTTCCCTCCAGTTCTTCTCTTTTCTTTCTGAGCCCTGATTAAAATTGAGCTTAATGTATATATTTCTAATATGTACTTCAGAAGGTCTCAATGTCTCTGTTTCATCCAGTTCCAATGCTATTTGCACATGTTTAGGTGTTATGGCAGACCTTCATTTCTCAATACCATAATCTATATTAGTCTGCTTGCGATACTGCAATAAAATACAATAAACTGGTGACTTAAACAGAAGGAATTTATTTCTTGTAGCTCTGGGGGCTGAATATTCCAAAATTAAGATGCAACCTGATTCAGTTTCCCAGTGACTAGTCTAAGCTTTCAGATGGCCACCTTTCCAATGTATCGTCTCATGGTAGAGATAAAGAGTAGTCTCTTTTTTTCCTATAAAAACATTAAAGTCATGATAGGAGAGTAACCCTCACGAGCACCTTTAAACCAAATTTCCTTGAAAATGTTCCACCTCTAAATACCATCCCATTGGGGTTCAGGGCTTCCAAATATAAATTTTGGGGGTGACACAAACATCCAGTTTGTAACTATTATTGTTAAACTGTCTTGTTTGTTTTACTTCTGTCAGTTTTTGCTTGTAATGTAATTTTGTTTTCCTTTGTTAGGTGCATATATGTATGGATTTTTATTTTCCTGGTGGTGCTTTATTATTATAAAAATAGTCTTCCTAATTACTAGAAACTTATTTTCTACTTTACAATTATCTGATTTTAGTATGGCTGCTCCATGTTAACTAATAATAGCTATTTGTATTTTTCTATCTCTTTACTTTAATCCTATTTGTTTCTTCAATTCCAAAGTGAGTTTATTGTAGACAGCATATAGTTGGTTCTTGCTTTTAATATCCAGTCTGATAACCTGTGTCCTTTGATTCTTCAAAACTTTTATAATTAATGTGTATAAATTTTGTTTTATATGTCTGGTTTTTTTTGTTTCTTAACTGCTTTCTTTTGCAATTAGTGAATATTTTCCATCTTATATTTTAATTTCTCTGTGACTTTTTCCTTGTATTTTTTTACTTATTTCATTGTTAGTTGCTCTAGGATTTAACATATGCATTTTATCTAATGGTGATATGCCCCAGATGTTAATACTAATAAGATACAGAAATGTTAATCCTATGTAACATTCCTCTTTTTCCTTTCTTTGATATTAATATTTATATATTTATTACTTGTATATATGTTACAAACTCAAGATATTGAGTCATCATTTTATGTAATTTTCTTTCTTTTTTTTTTTTTTTTTTTTTTTTTGAGACAGAGTCTCGGTTTGTTGTCCAGGCTAGAGTGAGTGCCGTGGCGTCAGCCTGGCTCACAGCAACCTCAAACTCCTGGGCTCGAGCGATCCTTCTGCCTCAGCCTCCCGACTAGCTGGGACTACAGGCATGCGCCACCATGCCCGGCTAATTTTTTTATATATATATCAGTTGGCCAATTAATTTCTTTCTATTTATAGTAGAGACGGGGTCTCGCTCTTGCTCAGGCTGGTTTTGAACTCCTGACCTTGAGCAATCCGCCCGCCTCGGCCTCCCAAGAGCTAGGATTACAGGCGTGAGCCACCGCGCCCGGCCTTATTTCTTTTTTAATTTTAGCGACTGGGGTCTCACTATGTTGCCCAGGTTGGTCTTGTACTCATGGGCTAAAGGATGGTCCTGATTCAGCCTCCCAAGTAGCTGAGACTACCAGCACACACCATCAGGCCTAATTTTTCTAGTTTTTGTACATATGAGGTGTTGCTCATAGTCATGTGTCTGTAATGAGCAGACTCCTGGCCTCAGCCTCCCAAAATGTTAAGATTACAGGTGGAAGTCACCGCACCTGGCCAGAATTCTCATTACATGTCACAATTGTTTGAGTTAGGAAACTGGACCAGGATGTGTAGATCAACTGTTTTATGATGTCAGGGCAGTGTTGTTCACTACGTGATGTCTATATTTGTCAGCTGGAAGGACACTCATGTCTGGGGTCATTGGACAGGCATTCAGCTCTTTTTGGCTAGGTTGGGCTTTCTTTTACTTTGGACATTCAGGGTAGTTAGGATTGTCCGCATTCTTTTAGGGCAACTGTCCAAGAGACCCAGGGAGAAGTGCCAGGCTTACCAATTGCCCTCAGAAGTCCCAGCACTTCTCTTCCACTACATTCTCTTCATGAAGGCCTTCACTAAGACCAATTCCAATTCAAGGGAGGGAAATTAGACTCCAACTTTCACTAAGAGGAATAGTAATATTTGCATCAGTGCAAAACTTTAATAAATAACAGTTTTTATGTAGTCACAAATTATTCCCATTTCTCCCACATGCAAATTTTACTTTGTCCCTCTCAGTCAACCCAGAAATCTTTTCCTGTTATGTCACTGGCTGAAAGGCCAACCAAATCAGTTCCTGGTGGCCTGTCATCTGCCTTTCCACATACACCCAGCACACAGTGAGGAGACTGACATAAACACAATGGGAACTTCCCTTTAGACAGGGATGGTTGGGGGCAGGAGGCCCTCTGCAGGTATTAGTCTAAGCAGTTGCTTATTCCCAAAGGGCAGCTGCTTCCATTTTTAGATTAAAATCAAGTCCTATTCCCTAGGGGAGATGCCTAGTATCTCTTCATTCTGCCCTCTTGGTTTTTGCCATTCTCTGAGTTGATGTACTTAAAAAAAAATTCTTGCGGCCGAGCGCCGTGGCTCACACCTGTAATCCCAGCTCTCTGGGAGGCCGGGGTGGGCGGATTGCTCAAGGTCAGGAGTTCAAAACCAGCCTGAGCAAGAGGGCGACCTGTGTCTACTAAAAATAGAAAGAAATTAATTGGACAACTAAAAATATATAGAAAAAATTAGCCAGGCATGGGGGCACATGCTTGTAGTCCCAGCTACTCGGGAGGCTGAGGCAGAAGGATCACTTGAGCCCAGGAGTTAGAGGTTGCTGTGAGCTAAGCTGATGCCATGGCACTCTAGCCCAAGCAACAGAGTGCGACTCTATCTCAAAAAACAAACAAAAAAATCCCTACATAGAAAAATCTTTACTTTATACCTGAAGTAACTAAAAAAACAAATACTATGCACAATTTAGCAAAAGGAAATGACATATTAGAACACAAATCAATGAAATAGAGACTAGAAAAACAATATAAAATCAACTAGAGCATATTTGAAAAGCTATACAAAATACAATCCTCTGCATAAATGTCCCAAACATAGCAGGTTCTGGTTAAGCTATTTCAGTCACCCTTTATGTCATTATTCAGACTGTATCTACAGAATTAGCCTTGTCCTTCTCATTCTCTAACACAAGACACAATGCATAAGGAGGGAACATGTCAGCAAAGATCAATATTCTTTTGCAGAAAAGCTGTCATTTCTGTGTCTTCTCCTTTAAGGAAACTTTCAGATATGCCACAGAATCCTTCTATTTCCTTGAGACAGGGTCTCGCTGTGTTGCCTGGGCAACAGTGCAGTGGCGTCATTATAGCTCACAGCAACCTCAAACTCCTGGGCTCATGCAGATCCTCCTGTCCCCAGCCTCCTGAGTAGCTGGGACTACAGGCATGTGCCACCACGCCCAGCTAAAGAAACCTTCCAGTATGTCC